ACAGATGAATAAATGACATCACCTGAGGCTAGTGACTGATCAGGAACTTGTCAACTCAGATAATAAAGGCTTCCCAAATCACTGTGTGCTTTTCTTGATTTATTATGGTTTTCCAATGCCTTACACAGCAGAAACAATGGGCCTAATCTCCAACAAGGGAAGAGGAATGTCATATATGGAGAGATCTATTAATATTTTCCATTCACGATACCAGGTTCTTATCATATTCATTCTCATTTAATCCAGATGAATTTGACATTTGCTCTGTTACTAGAGAGATTAAAATATATTGTGTTCTTAATTTAAATAAAAGCCTCACTGAATCTCAGAAGTAAAGAGTACATTATGTTATTTGTAAATGTGGAAATAGCTATTGCAAAGGTACATGCTTTCCTTGATGGGCAAAGTAAGAGCATTCTTTAAATCAACATTTACAAACTTAGTTCTATAGAACATTAGTTTTGAACGGTTTTGTTAGGTAGTAAATTAAAGAAGGATATTGTGTTGGGACACATCTATTGTAGAAAACCCAGGGTTAAACTAAGTTAAATGGGTTTCTTGACCACAATATTTCTGATATCTTTAAATGTTATAAGGCCTTGTGAGTTTCCAAAGGGAGCATGTCATATGCAACATTTTATGAATTTAATTTGAACATAGGAACCTCTTTTGTTGTTGTGGTTGTTGCTGATGTTTATTTTTTGTTTCTTTGCTTTTATAGAAAGCATCTTCTGTTAGTGTTACACAGCACATTATAGAACATGCTCTGTACAGAAAGGTATAGGCCTCTCATGTTACGTGATTGCATAATGTTTCCACTAAGTCAATTCTTATTTTAAAGATTCATTTAACATTAAATTCTAAGTAAATATGAAATATAAAGTTTGAGTCCTCACACAGAGTCATCAGCCTACAGGGATATAAATATCTATGCTGGTTTTCAAAATGTTGTCCTCATACCAGCAGCACTGGCATCACCTACTAGGAATGAATATTATCAGACCTCATCCCAGACTAAATGCATCAGACATGCTGAGGGTAAGGCCCACAAATCTGTTTTAAAAAGTCTTTCAGGTAATTGTCATACGTACAACATTTGAGAACCTGAGAACCACTGATTTTGCATATTATAATCTAAACAGTGACTCAGACCTTAATCGAGTAGAATGGGCAGTTTTTTTGAAACTGGATTGTACCCTGGCCATAGTACAAGCTCAACAATAGTAGACAGGGAATTGAGTAGCTAGCTAGCAAGGCACCATTTCAAGAGGATAGAGCACCTGACCAAGAGGTACTACAAACAGAAGTAAAGGCTGTAGCAGGGCACATTGGATGTTTGAGCAACTGAGGTCATTTAGAAATCAGCAAAGCAGGTTTGGTAACAAATGACTGGGATTCATAGGCAGAAATCAGGTGCCTAGTAATATGGGCAAGAAAAAGACATTGTTCAATCTTGGAGGAACCTGGATCCTAGAGATGTACCAAGGCAGGAGGAACTCAGAACTCCAGGGAACAAAACAGAAGGCGGGAAAAAAACAGAAGGCAGTTACAGAATTTTGTTATAGGAACAATGCCGAGGTCCTGACACTACATGCACACACTTGGACTAAGTAAAATAAAAACTTACTTTCAATGATAGATAGCTGGAGTTTCTGAACTTAGACTGGTGATGCTGGTTATGTTCTTCTGATTTAAAGGCAATTCAAGGTTATATAACATGCAGTATGGCAAATATGCCTTTATGACATGCCATGAGGCTTTAGAAATTAGAGAGGTACAGAGATGAGGAGCTTGACAAGGATCTAGGCTGGTCATTGCCGTGAAAGTCTTGGAAGCATCAGCTAAATAATCAATTACTAACACTGTGTGGCTGTCATGGGCCTGTAGAGCAGAATGAATTTGCTTCTCTTTGCTTCTCTTCACTGTTTGATTATCTGTAATACTTTAATAGCTTCATCCAATGAATAGTCCTGCTTTCAGTGCTTCATTAAGCAAGGATATATGCTATGGATTGCACAAATTTCAATATTCTGTTTATTATTCTTGTAGATATCTCCTTGCTGATATAACACTGATACTGAATTCCAGGTGTGGTTTGACTAGGAAAGCTTAGATTCAAACAATAACATTCTCTATTTTGGACATCTCTATGACTTGTTTTCTTTGGTGGTCTTGTTGCAATTCACATGTATTGATTGCTCAAAAAACACAAGGGTTTACAGATTCGGATACTACATTTTCTCTCCTTTCTCAGTTTCATGACATGGATCACTTTGTAGTGTAGATCTACCACAACTTCACTCAAGCTACTGGCAAAAGTGTGGCATGAAGGCCAATGGCAGGTGACAGGGGCATCCTCCTAGAGGTCTCCTTCCCCTCACACTGTCTTATTATTGAGTGAAATTATTTGAAATATTATGACTTAGTCTACTTTTAATTTTCAAAGTACTTGGGTTTTTGGCATTCTGCAAATGATGACTCATCGTTTACATCTTTAGTCTCAGAAGGTCATATATGAAATATTCTGAGAAGAGCTACAATAGAATGAAAATTTAAACATATATATATATATATACACAATATTTATACTTTCTGATTTTATATATTTCTTTATTGCCTAATACAATAAGTAAAAGCAAACTCAGCATTACTAAGAATATTTATGCAAAATGTAATCAGAATGTTTGAATACTTGACCCTTCCAGTCTGTATGTATCACATTCATAATTCCATTTAGGCATGGTTTTCATGTCCTTGCTCTATAAATACTCCATGATACTCCTCAACCTGCATAGCTTTCAGAGGTTCAATAAATGTTATAGTATAAAATCAAATTACTAATCAGGGTGGTCTTGAAATAAAGCATAACTTATTTTAGGGCTCTTTAACATTTTAACCTGAAAAATAAGTAAAATCAAAATAATTCCTGACTTTTAGAAGACAGTAAAAAAAAACCTTATGTTAGCTATAAGTAGAGAAAAAAAATCAAAACGTCTCTAGAGGTGTCATATATTTCTTCCACTGTATGCTAGGAAAATACTAAGTGTGTCGTTTGACTCATTGAATGGCACCTTTTAGTGGGACCACAATTCCAAATTTAAAACTCTCTTCCATGTTGAGGGAGAAGGGGGAATCTAGAGCAATCAGTTTGCATAGCACTTGAATGAACCAGAAATGGTGATGAAAGTGACCTGAGGGACAAGTTTGCACGATATCATTGAGGAGTCCAGACAATAATTTAGTCTGAATGGTGACTAAGAGAAACCTTGCATCCTCCTTGTTTACACCAGGCTTTCAGCACAGATATGACTGACTTTTGTGTTTAAAGGATGAATAATCTAATATTTGGTTCTTAAGTCATCTGCTGAAATATCACTAATTTTTTCAAGAAGCTGTTTTCTCTAAAATTCTACTTGATCTCTCATACAATATCAAGCTTGAATTTTTCAATTAAGAACTTTTCTAAGCCTACTTAAGCAAAGATGATTTTTAGGTTTTTTGGTTTGTTGGGTTGGTTGGCTGGTTTGTTTTTCTGTTTAATCATCAATAGAGTTCTAAAGCTCAGTATAACTTGTTCTGGCATATGTAAATGATAGTTAAAAAAATATTTGAAAGTTTTCCTACTCAGAGTGTATAGCATTGTCATAATGTTGTCTGTTTTGTTAGCAGTTCAGTATTCCACATTAGACTTGAGGAAACAGTGGATCAAATATGGCAGTTTTAAATAACATGAAGAATATTATCAATTTAGAACTCTCTTTTGTTTACAAGAAACAGAAATAAATAAACAAAATAAATTGTTGATTTAAGCCAGATTTGGTCAAGAATTTTCAGGTATGACCTCTAGTAAATCACCTCAGGCAGGGTGGGGTGGCAGATGGTATATATGGGTGATGTTGGATAAATGGAGAAGGTGGGAAGGGTTAAGAGAATCCTTGTAATTTGGGCAGGCACTCCAAAATGTTCTGCTACAAATCTGTTAAATAATTATTAAATTAAAAAATCAAAATGCCAAAGAACTATCTTTAATTTTTAAGCTCATAGTCAATTCATTCTACTTGAATAGATAGGAAACATGGCCAGATATAATATAATCCAAATTTATAAATGTTAACAGGAAGGTTACAAGAATCAGAAAAACAGCCTGTGTTCCAATGTGAAAAACTTCCTTTGATTTAATTTTCTTTAATATGACATAATTTTTTAATCAATTAAGATAGAATTTAACTTCAAATCTAATTTAAAATTGTAGTAAGAATGACTTTGAGAAAAAAATTCTTATACTCTATGCTTGTTTACTTTGATGTGAAAGTAATTGACAAAGCTCTTTTATTATTATTTTAGGAGAATTTGGAATTAAATGGATGCCAGCTATCTATTTAGTTCTTCAGAAAACCCACTAGTACCACCACATACTAGCACCATTCAGAATGCAAAATCTCACTTAATAAAGGATGACAGAGACTATATAATTTCAATTTGTTTTAAAAATATCAAATCAGACCAGTGGTTAGATCAGGATAACATCCATAGTGAATCAGAGAATTGATGAGATATAGCATCACAGAACCAAGGAAGTCAAGTGAAAATGGTTCAACTGATGTGTGCATAGGTATTTCCTTTGTTAAAAAAAATGGGTGATCACTATGCTTTTTTCAGATTAGTAATCAATTTCCACACAGTTCTTGCTCTCCTAGAAGATCATTCAACCTCTAACCCTTTCAAGGACACTTATTTTTTTCTCATATTGTTATTTAATTCTATTTGAGTTACATCATGTCTCCAGAAGTAATTATGAATCCAGTTAGTGCATAAGATATCTCATACTTCTTTTTTTCAGGACTTCCTTACCTGAGGGTGGAACATACAGAAGGCACTTGATAGATACCAACATATTCTTCTTAAATTACTCTGATATAGACTAGAAAGATTCTATAATATAGAGACAAAGCACTCAACATTAGGTGGGCTGTGGTGTACCAACTGCAAAATAATATGTTTACTTTTCCAACATTTTTTTCTTTTATTGATAAAAATTACACAAAAGTTAATTGATAATTTAAAAACCAAGGTTACACATTATCTTGTGTTTAGAAATTTGTAGCTTGGCAGTTTCATTCATTGACCACATGGCCTTTGTTCTTCATATACCCCTAGTCCAGGTGAGAATATTTCAGATTGTCTTCTCATTTGGAGATCTTCACATGTCTTTTTATTCACTTCTCACATAGTGAAAGCTCACAGTGAGGACTGCCAGTAGGAAAAAAAAAAAAATCAAAACTCACTTTGTATACAATGTGCCTTGAAGGATCATTTGCCTAGATTTTGATTCCAGTGGCTTTGTCAAACTTTGTGGTCAACCTTATTTCTTTGTGGTCTGTGGTACACCAAATCTTCTTTTGGTACAACATAAGTTTGAACACCCATGTTGAGAATTGGAAACAGAATTGCTTGACCAGGAAAAAAATTAAAATAAAACAAACCAAACATGAACAAATGACATTTTTAAGAGAAAAATGAAATGAAAGCAATTTTAATAATCTGTTACACACACCTAACAAGGAAAACTGTATTGTTTCCCCAACTTCCCACCCACACCTGGTTTGATGCTCCCCCTCACCCCCCACCCCCTGTGGTTCTCCAGCCCAGGAACCATGCAGTGTAGAAAAAGCAAAATATACAAACAAACCTATAGGTAGCTAAGGTGAAATCTATTTTTATAAGAACTTGACACTTTTACTATTTACATCCAGGAACATTTCTGTTTGTATGTTTTAAAGCAAAGAGAATTCTGTAGTTCTCCTGGTTATGCTGCAGGTGCATCCACTGCCCTCTTTAAGCAGTTTTTCGTTTGTTTGTTTCCTTTCGTCTATGTCATAAATGTCTTAGGAACGATGAGGGAGCTGGGTTGCGTGATTTGGACACCCATTCTCCTTTAAAATGAAGTCCCTCCTTCCCCGCGTCGAGTTCCCCAATGAGGAGTTAGTTGCCTTTCACGTTAGTTTGTTATTCTCTCAAGGTAAATGGCTGGGGCTGCAGACCTGGCTATGGTGGTGATGAAGCTGTGGTCGGGCCCGAGCTCCAGGCTGGGAGTTTCGTCCTGCTCGAGAGACATTGCTTCGTAGCCCTTGTTGACATGGAGTGGCTGGTGAGCCTGGCAGTACCTGATCACTGGCTGGTCGTAGCTATAATATGGCAAGGGCTTCACGTGGTGTAGGATCTGGTTATGAGAAAGAAAGATACTTATTATAAAAATGCCTTGGATGAGAAGATGACACTCATAGGATTGTATTTTGTTCTCTTTCATGGTGTTTTAAGTCATCAATTGCTGATCCAACTATTAATAAACATTAAACAAAATAACGCTTGTTAGTATGTAACTCGGTATTGTTTTGTCCATTATATATCGTTTTATGTACAAAGCATATATATACCTTGTATATGAAATCATATATAAAGACTTTACAGTGTGTGTCCTATCATCTGTCCATCCATCATTTATCATCTATCAACATAGCAGAAAGTTAGAAACAACCTAAATTCCCATCAAAATTTAACATAATTAGGTTATGTTAAATAATTTTAACATATATTATGTACATGTACATTTGAATGCAGATAATACAAAGATTGGGGAATATCAACCTGTGTAATACGGTAAGACATGATATTAAGTTAAAAACTTAAGTTGTAAGGAATGTAGAGTAGGATCCATTTTGTGTGAATAAAACTGTGAACATATAGATAGATTTTTTTTTACTTTCAAAAATATGTTTATAGATCATTGAAATCTTTATTGTGGGCATATATAAATTTCATTTAACGTTTTTTTAAATTACAGTTTCTCACAGATTATTACTAACAATTCTATAATTTCTGAACAAAAGTACTCTAGAATCATGAAAGTGGGCACATGAAAATCATGAAAGTGGGCACATCTTTGCATTCATAATAGTAATGCTGTTGATTTTAAGCTAATAAGCTAAAATGTGTCTAATGTTAGAATAATAAACCTGAATAATGGTCTATAGAAATCTCTTTAATAGGAAATGCTGAAAATGTTAAAATTATAGTAATTTTCATTCTCTGTACAGCTTTTTATTATACCACACATTTCTTATAAAGAAAAATGTCTCAAAACTAGAAAAAGGAAAATGATGATTGCTTAATTCTTGCTTTCACGCTACAGCATTTCTCATAACTCACTAGATCCAATATGACTCTTGATAACAGTCCACAAATGATAAAATTGCAAACCCTTCACTGTCCTGTAAGGTTAGAGGTAGGGGTGACGTAAACCATTGTCTCTTGGCTCCTGGCTCCAGCCCCAGTTCTGTAGTTGGCTTTATGATTCTGGGCAGGGGCTTTGCATACCACATTTCTGTTTGACCTGCTGCTCCCTGTTAGACTTTGCCAGTGGGGTCCACTGGAGGGAGATGGCAGGACTAGAGAAGATAGAAGGACTGCTCCTATGGTGGGCTTCCTCTCTGCTTTTTCCTACTCCAGATATTTACCCCAACAACACTTCTTCATTCTGGCTGCAGCAGTGCCTTTCCATAACAGCAGGTGATTCTGGTTTGTAATCTTTTCAACATTTGCATTTCTGACATTTGATCTCATCATGTCCCCCACAGAGACTCTAGCACCAGGGAAATATGAGGTTCATCTCCACAAAGCTCCTCCTCCAAGTGTTTGATTTTTAATGATGAAGATTTAACATCTTCCTTTAGTTCCTTAATTCTATAGGTGGTAAGAGTGGCAGTATTTCCTGAAGTTGCTGTCTATGTTATACTATGACACTGTCTTTTAGCCTTTGCATGAACTTAGCACAAATTCTGTATTTACTTAGCACTACTTTATAAAATTCTTTGTGAAAATCCCTGATAGGTTGTCTGTCTCCTGACTCAACTATATCTGGCTCTTTCTGTAGGTTAAACTGCAGAAATTGATAAGTTGTTAACTGTGGCTTAATTGTTCTGTAGGAAGTTAACTAGTCATATCTCACTTAGCAACCTTATTTTCAGAATTCATTCCTCCAATTACTATATAAATACCTCAAATGCTCTTTAAACTAGGTCTTCTGTTTTCATCCTGATATCCTCATTAATGTGTTGAATAAAATTATGACACAAATTCACTGTATGTTTGTATGAGAAATATGTTTTTAACACCTCTATACTTATTAAGATAAAAGTCACCTCCTCACATTTTTAAAGATATAGATCAAAGCAATGTTTTCTATGGCAGATCACAACTCATTAGTGAGTTATAAAATCAATTTAGTGAATCCAGATAAACATTTAAAAAATAGAATTAGAATAGAAACTATCAGAGTATGTCATATGAGTAAAGGTAAGTTGTTTCATAAAAGTTTTGTTTCACATTTGTGTGTACATATGAGTATGTGTCTACTGAATCATACTGTGATTTTTTTTAAAAATTGGGAATCACAATAAAAGATGCTTTTTAAAAATAATCAGAAAACATATTCAGATTACAGATTATTATAGTATGATTAGCAATAACCTGAATAAATTTCCATCCTGCTTTAAATTATTCTTTTTTTCCTAACTCATAATTCACTGTTTTTCTCAATGAATGAGAAAATTAAACTAATATATATTGTTTTGTTTCTATGATGGGGCACATTTACTTCTAATTAAAAGCAAACACTATTTTCAGCAAGTCTTTTAAGAAATATTGAGGAAGAGGTAACTTCTTTATATTTTGATATAACCTGAATATACAATTCCATTCTCAAAAAATCTGAAAGAAATACATACTAGGTCAAAGTTGGGATTTATACAGATAGTTTTTTAGACATTAGACATTAATTTCTCTGCTCATAGTGGAAGCAAGGAACAAATTATAAGACAACATGGCCAAATTACCAAATATAAAGTTAGGTCTTCCCCAAATCAATAGAATTTTTTTTTTCTTCTTCTTACTCATATAGGTCTGTTTGTCAGCAAGTTCTATTTTAGGAAACCTCATTGCATTTTGAAGTGTGTTGGATAGGTTGAGATATCTGTGATTGGTGTCATGGGTCACCAAAACTCTGAAAAAGAGTAGAAATCAAATCATATTATTCTGACATTTCAGCAGGAAGAATTTTATGAAGAAGACCTCCTTGGGCTTCCCTGATGGTGCAGTGGTTGAGGGCCCACCTGCCAATGCAGGGGTCGCAGATTCAGATCCTGATACGGGATGATCCCACATGCCGCAGAGCAGCTGGGCCCGTGAACCACGGCTGCTGAGCCTGCGCTCTGGAGCCCATGAGCCTCAGCTGCTGAGCCCGTGTGCTACAACTGCCGAAGCCTGCATGCCTGGAGCCCGTGCTCTGCAACAAGGGAGGCCACCGTGGTGAGAGGCCCACACACCGTGGTGAGGAGTGGCCTCTGCTCGTTGCAGCTGGAGGGGGCCCACGAGCAGCAACGAAGACCCAACACAGCCAAAAAAAGATAAAATAAATAAACATTAAAAAATAAAAAAGAAGACCTCCTTACGAGTTACATAGTCCACTCTTACTTTTGTTGTTGTTGTTGATAGGTGAAATAGTATTACTTGAAAATATAAAAAAACTTTCACCGAATCATTTCCAATGACAGCAACATTCATAGAACATTTTTTGCACACTTTCATTTAGAGGAATGACTCATTATCTCCAAATTAACCAAATACCAAAAGACATCAAAATAAACATTAAGCATGGATTGTGATTTTGTTCACCATCTTGTATCCTCATGGATAGTCTTTCTCCAGTCATTGCAGTGAGAAGACACTTGAATCTAAAAACATGTATGAGCAGAGAATGTGAGAATAAGACAGGGTCTTAAAGACCCTTCTGAAAACCAGGTTAATCTACGGATGAAAACCATTAGCTCATTTGTGAACATGGTTGAATTTCCAGTATAAAATAAAATCCCTAAAGTTGAACTATAATAGGAAAGAGCAATCCCATATCTAAGATACCGTGGTATTTGTCTTCAAACGTGTCAAGGGACTTCCATTAATTTCAGAGGCTTAGGTTTACATATAGCATCACTTCTGAACTCAGAAAATTCATTTTGCTGTTACAGTTGTACCAGTTTATTTTTATGTCAATGAACAAGGGCTTCTGCCATATTCTTTGTTGTTTTTGAGACAAGCTTAAAACCTCTAGCAGGGTGAAAAATATTGTAAAGTTATCCTGCACAGAAGCCCGATAGCAAGACTTCAAAAGCCAAGTGAATTGGCAAGCTCTGAAAGAGTATCTGCGGTGTTTGCTCCTTTATATTTAAAGTCTAGTCTGTAGGGCACTGTGTAATCAGCTCACTTTGTGGTTTCTGAGGAACTGCGAGACTGAGGTTTTGTACTACATAATAATAATGTACAGTACATTAACCGCCCGGATCCCTGTGTGTATCGTTGTTTCCAGCAGTCAAAACAAAGTAAGCTTAAGTTCCTCTTAATGTGTATTTGGTATTTTTGTAAATGTGTTCATAGAGCTTTTCCAAATGGTCCCTGTGTTCCATCAGCTCTCTGATGGACTTCACTCTGTAGCACAGCACAACAACGTTGCTTAAATATGGCCTCATTCACATGCTTGACTGCTCATTGACTGCCTTGGAAGGTGCACTTTATTTACAGATACTGGGTGTGGTATGTGGAATGAAGGGAACTCATTGGCGGAAATATACTAAAATTCTGTTTGTTTCTCTCGAGAATATGAATATTTCAACTCAATTGCATTTAAACTTTTATAGAGACATATAAACTTCTATAGAGACATATTTCATAACTAAATTTGAGGTAGGTTACAAAGGGGAGGAAACATCATTATCACTAATTATAAGTCTCTTTAATTATCCCAAGCTTCCTGTGAATCCACTGAAAGAGGGGACAATAATGATAACTCCTTTACCTCTATAAATTTCAGATAACTCTGAAAGTACTCCCTGGTTCTCAAGAAAGAAGAATATACTGAAAAGGCATATTCCTACACAAATTTTACTCAACTTTGATACTGTCTTTCCTGGAAACTGTGCCCTGTCTTTTGTTTCTATTCAGAGAGATGCAAGGACATGAAGGGTCACAGAGTAGCTCATTAACAGGGGCTTTCATTCCTACTTTGTGCATTCAGAAGCTTAACATCTTTAGTCTGTGTGACCGTTTTCTAAAAACATTATTTACCTTTTGCCTAGAATATGTTTTTCTTCAAATATACAGAAGGGAATATAA